TCCTTCTTCTCTCAAAAATCCTCACTGACTACTTATTGAATAAGGCCCAATGGCTTAACCTGGCATTTGGGTCCCTCAAGGCTCTGACACTTCCTACCAAGATATTCTGTGTGTTTTTGGACTTCAAGCCTTTGCTCACAACTACCTCCACCTGGGAATGTTATTGGCTCTTCAAAGCCCGGCTCAAGTGCTGTCTCCCCCAACACATTTCCCCTTTGACAAAAGTGGCCACTTTTCTAGAGCGTGTCTTTGTTGTAAACCTAGGACATTATCACTTTCTACCTGTAGGCCCCATTCTCTCTAGCCAATGGAGCCCTAACAAACTAAATCTCCACATTCTCCTCTACTCTAGCATTAGCTAAATGCCGTGAAAGAGCAGGAAAACAAAGTAAACCATCCGAAGGGACCCAAAAAACAGTTGCCTGTATCTTATCTTAATCAGGACTCTACCTACCAGCTAGTTTAAACAATTCTTATTTACTCTAAATTTTCCTTCCCCCAAACTTTCTCCTCCTCCACAACTTAACTTAAAATACTGTAGATGTTGAAGTTTGCTTTCCTGTTCTTAATTTTTAAGTTAATGTTTTTTTCTTCCTCAAAACAATGTAAAACAAACTCCAAAACCAATGAACAACTATGGCATTCAATGCTTACCCATGAGTCTCAAGGAAAAAGAAACAGGATTTCTTACAAGTGGGAGGACTGGATTATGAGTAACACACATCACAAAGATATATGGGCAAGTGACACTTACTACCAAGATATTGTTAAGACACACCTTTACCAAATAGCTTATGCTAAACTGCGTGGCAGGACAAGCAAGAGAACAGGAGTTGGGACGGTCTGGCGGAATATGCCAGGTTTTTCTGTAGAGCAAAAGAAGCACTTTCCACACTTGGGATGAGTCTTGAGTAAAGCTGAACTAGGAGCGGGTGAAGCACAAGTAAAAGCAGTGAGACTAGTCAGACAACAGGAGAGGTTTAAGCTTGAGAGTTGCTATGACAGAGAATGGGAAAATAAGGTGGGACTGGACTAGTAAATGCTTTGTAAATCTCCAGAGGAGTTTAGAGTGAATGAGATAGGCAACAGGAGGTCCTCGGAGGTCCCAGGGCAGGAAAATGATTTTCTGTGGGAGGATCAGTTAAATGCAAGTTGTACTAGGGAGGGAGGGAAAGAGGGAGGAACGGAGTGAGGGCAATGAACTAAGGGAGGGGCACATACCAAGAATGAAGGTCTTAATTGCAGCAGAGGCAATGGAAAGGAGAGGAATGAGTGCATCTAAGAGATTTTCAGAAGCATTAACAGGACTTAGTCATGTCAAACCTTTTAGCTCTGGGGAGTGGGAAGAAATTCGGTAGCTAGGGAGAAAAGAATGAGGGGCCCAGGAAGCTAAAAATTAAAAGTTAGGGGGTGCTTGGCTGGCTCAGTCCATAGAATGTGTGGCTCTTGATTTCAGGGTCTTGAGTTCAAGACCCACTTTGGGCATGGAGCCTACCCTAAAAAATTAAAATAAAAAAAACACTTAGAAAATTAAAAGTTAGGGGGAAAATTAAAAGTTAGGGTAAAGATTAAGCACAGGAAAGCAAACCTGATTCAACATCTTCAATGTTTTAAATTATGCTGTGGAGGGCGCCTGGGTGGCTCAGTTGGTTAAGCGACTGCCTTCGGCTCAGGTCATGTCCTGGAGTCCTGGGATCGAGTCCCACATCGGGCTCCCTGCTCGGCAGGGAGTCTGCTTCTCCCTCTGACCCTCTTCCCTCTCGTGCTCTCTGTCTCTCATTCTCTCTCAAATAAATAAATAAAATCTTAAAAAAATAATAAAAAATAAAAAAAAAATTATGCTGTGGAGAAGAATCACAGTTAAGTGTCCTATCTCTTCTGAAGATATTAAAACAAAAAGCACCCAGGCTTTTTTATCTAAGGGAGTCAGGAATTACAGCATATCTAATTCTCCAAGTACACTGTGAAATTTCTCAAGTGGGATGCCAAAAAAGGAGCATTTTCTTCCCAGCCAGAGGGCTCATCATTTGGGAGACAGGTATCAAGAACAAGGGCCCTAAATCTGAATCCTGGTTCCCCCACGTACTAGATGGGAAAACCTGGAGAAACTTGGCCACCTGGGAAAGGGGGGGATGTGCTTTGTTAGTTTCTTGGCTTGGGAAGGAAGGGGAATAGTTGAAGGTGTTGCGTAGGTATGAGCCTGAAATGCTGATTTTGAGAGAAGGTGAGTCACCACTTGCAGAGTTTCAGTTTCCCCAGCTGTTAATTTAGAGAGAGGAAGATAATAAAATCTACCTCAGTGGATTTTTTAAGAGCTGCAACAGATAATCCTTAAGTGTTCAGCATAACGTCTGATGTGCTATAACCATTAAATGTTAGTTGAACATAACATCAATACAAGAAATAATGCTCTTTTTAACACTATTATTAAACATCCTATCTCTTCTTGATATTCTGTGTATTTTACTACTAGAATGGTTTTGTCAGACTCTCAAAAGGGACTGAAATCCCAAAAAGGTTCAGAACCACTGTACTGGAGGCCTGGGAAGAGAAAGGTGGCTGATGTGGTGGACAAGGAGGCTGTGGGCCCTGATACCAGGCCCTGCGCACCATTCCAGGGCCGGGAGGGAAAAGACAACAGGCAGCATTCGCAGCGTGCTCACTCCACGGCAGCCACTGAGCTCTGCGCTTTACAACAGCACCTACTCCACTCCTCGCGACAGCCCTCCGAGGGAGATCCTTTCGTCAGCGCCACTTTACAAATGGGGAAACTGAGGCGCCCCAGGACTGAACCGCTAGCCCAAGGTCACATGGCTCGAAAAGCTGGGAACGCAGGTCCGTGGACTCTGAAGGCTGCGCTCTTACCCACGGCGCTTCGCTGCGTCCCCGTACGAAGGGCAGGCAGGAAAGGGGTGGGGGCGCCAGGCAGCCCGGCTGAGCCGAGGCCGCGGGGGCCGGGCCGCGGAAGGCGGGCGCGCGGGGGCGGCGACGGGACTCACCTTGGCGCTGTGCACCGCCTCCTGCGCCCCGCGGAGCTGCAGCCAGATGCGCGCGGGCAGCGGTTCTTCAGCCCCGAGCGCGCCGAGCACCGCCAGGCTCACGCCGAACAGGCCCTCGATGCGGCCGCGGCTCCGCTCCAGCAGCGCCGCCTTCTCCGCGGGCGCCGTGAACTCGTCCAGCACCGCCCGGGCCGCCATGGCGGGCGCGGCCTCCCGCGGCGGCGCCGGGGGCCGGCGGCGGCGACGCCCCCTCAGCGTGCTGCCGCTACACCCGAGCCCGTCAGGCGGCGTCGGCCGTCGCGGCCGCCTCGCCCCCGCCCGCGCCCCGCCGCCTGCCCGCAGGCCCAGCTACACCATCCCTGCACGGCCGCCGCAGCTTGGCAACTGCGGGAAGAGAACCCCTCCGCCCCTTCGCCGCCGCCGCCGCCGCCGCCGCGGGCAGGGCCCCGCCGCCGCGCATGCGCCCAGCCTGCCGCCGTCATTGATGCTCGCCGCCCCCCAGGGAAGGAGGGAGGGCGGAGGCGACGGAACTCGACGTCACGCGCGGTGGCCATGTTTGTTGAGGGCAAGGCGACGGCTACGGAGAGGGGCCCGGTTGGCCTTCTTTGGTGAGGGCAGAACGCTTTTGGGTGACCTGATGGATGGTGAATCTCTGGTTTTACAGATGGGGAAATTGAGGCTCTGAATCAGTGGACGGGACTGACCCAATGTCACAAGGGATGTGGCTTGTCTTGAGACATCTTGAAGCCCAAACTAGGGCTCTAGCAATTGAAGTTTTCTAGCTTCTGAGTAACTGATAGGCAGATGGTCTCCCTCTCTCCCTTCCTCTCTCCCTTCCCACCTTCCTCCCTCCTTTCCTTCCTTCCTCCCTCCCTCCCTTCCACCCTCTCTTCCTCCCTTCCAGCTTCTCAGTAATTGCTAGGCAGATTTCCTTCATTCCTCCCTCCCTCCTTCCCTCCTTCCCTCCTTCCCTCTCACCCTCTCTTCTTTCTCTCTACCTACCCATCTTCTTCCTTTCCATTCCCTTCCCTCTTTTCTTTCCTATTGCTCTTTTGGTAAAAATGGTAACAAGAAGAGAAGAAAATGGGAATAATAAATATGGAGAATTGAAGAGCAAAGAAATGATTAAAAAATTCAAGAGAGTGAGTTCTTCCGGAGGGAAGAAGCGGGATATGTTATAAAGAGGTACAAAAAGTGGGGGATTAGGGGTGCATTCGTTTTATTGTGGGACTTGAATAAATACACCCTAACCCCTCTCCAGCTCTGTTTTCTCATCTATAAAATCATGGGTTTACTCAGTTATCTTTAAAGGCTTTTCCAGATCTTCCATTCTGTGAGTCCATAACAAGATATTGTGGGAGATAAATGTTGGTTTCCTTTCTCTGGGCTAAATGTGGATATAGTAGATAGATAGATAGATAAGGATCGTGGGAATATTACTTAACTTCTCTATGTCTTAATTCCTCATCTGTGAAATGTGGGCAACAATAGTACCTGCTATTGTGAAAATTACTGCAGTACCTGGACACAGTAAATGATCACTAAGTATTAGCTACTACTATTGCTAAATTAGCAATGCATTTAAGGTTCTTTTTTCATGGAAAAACTTTGTATGGATTATACAACCATGTTGAACTTGTGGCCCTGGGAGCCCCCTCCATCTGTGTAGATTTCCCCTTAAGGAGAAAGAAGGGGATCTAAAGATGTTACAGTTGGAAATGCCAAAGGTGAATGGTCTTGGTAAGAGGGATTACCCAAGGTAAAACCTCTCAGGGATCCTGGCTGCTGGGGTTTTCCATTTGCCTCAGAAATTTAGGCAGGTGTGGTTCCCTGGTGCCCCAATGAGAGATGACTCAACACAGGGAAGAGAACCATTAGGCTCACAGACCAACAACTTCCTGTTCCCCTGGGCTTTTCCCTTGGTGTCTACACAACTATCAGGTAGGTGACCTGAGATTGGCTGAGACAAGGCAGGTGGTGAGTATGGCCTTGTTGATAGATTGCACTCAGAGCTAGACTCAACACATGTTATTTCCTGTCTTCTTGCTGCACTCACCTTAAAAGGAATTGCTATTGTTCAGTGATTGGCCAAGGCTTTCCCCAGGGCTTTCCTGTTTGCTCCCAGTTGACTTCCTGGCCAGTGATTCTTAATTGCTTAATTGTAAGGGGTGAGGAGAGGCTGCCTTGAAAAACACACAACAGCTCCTTCCTGTCCCCCAACAAAAACCCGCCCTATACCAACAAAAGTAGTGCATACACACACACCCATAAAAGAAAGCTGGGCCATTATACTGTGTTCATAAGTCACTAGATTCGTGTATCACCAGACATACAGCTGTTGGGGTTTTTCCCCTATTTAAAAGACTTGTCAGTTCATATCTGGTCAGCATTTCCCTCTAGGGAACTCTCAAGGTTTCCTGAGTGTAGGGAACTAGGAGAGAGGGAGAAAGAGAAATCCCCTTTTTAAGAAACTCCCTTGATTCCTGCAATTTCTGAACCACAACTTTCCTCAGTTGACCAGCCTTGCCTATCTTGGCTAGTGTCACCAGCCCAGGACAGTTGATGCCAAGGATGAGACTGTTATGGAGTCTATATTTCAAACCCTTTACCTATTTTTTTCTCTAATATCCATAAGAGCCCCATGAAACAGTGTTGAGGGAATCACTTATTTCCCCTTCTCATATTTTCATGGAGGTGGGGGGTGGATTCCTACTTTATTCCCTAGCAGGGCCAAGTATGGAGGAATACATCCTAGCTTCCATCTACCCCTCCCTCATTTTTCCCCAGGGCAGGAGGAAGACTTACCTGATCCAGCAGACCAGTGGCTTTCTGAGAAGACTAAGTTGGACCATCCTCCCCCAGAGAAGGTATGTTATTGTGTGCTGTCTGCAGTTGTTCACTGGGTCACTTCAGTCACATCCTCCAGTCCAGCTTTGTCAGTAATGAAGATGACCTTTTTTTTTTTTTTAAAGATTTTATTTATTTATTTATTTGAGAGAGAGAGAGAGAGAAACAGCATGAGAGGGGATAGGGTCAGAGGGAGAAGCAGGCTCCCTGCTGAGCTGGGAGCCCGATGTGGGACTCGATCCCAGGACTCCGGGATCATGACCTGAGCCGAAGGCAGTCGCTTAACCAACTGAGCCACCCAGGCGCCCTGAAGATGACCATTTGACCTCCAGCTGTCTGACACTTGCTTTTGGTCTCAGTTCTGAAAGCAGGAGGGGCAGAAAGTGTTTATTGGTCTTCTAAAATGCCAACAGTGGTTGCTGTTATTATCATTCCTATTTTCAAGGTGGGGAAAGAGAGGCATAGAGAGGTTTGGAAATGTTTCACAGAGCTGGGAAGTCAAGTGATAGGAATAGGAATTTGAATCCAGGCCCTCTGTGCTGGAGCGCTCATGTATGCTATGCCTTAATGACGAAAAGCCTTCATCTGCACCCAACCCCCTTTTCTGGCCTTGGGCAAAAGTAAACAAGGGGAGATAATATGTTCTCATGACTGACCTCCTAACCCTTGGGCCCTACTTGCCTTGGAATGCTGTCAAAAATAGACAGATTTGCACAAGTAACATTGCTTGGCACAACCAACCAATCTGATAAACCCTGACTCAACATGCCCTCCAGCCCCAGTCTCTAGGGTGGTGAGTCCTCCTGGGTTCTTTTTTTTTTTTTTCTTTTTGTATAATGACATCTACGGCTTTAGAGTAGAAAATAGGAATACAATTGTGTTTTAGCCACACACGTTTTAATATATTTACAAACTGTTCAGTTTTTCTCATCTCCTTTGTCACTAATCCAAGCCACTATCGTTTCTCGCTTTGACAACTGTGGGGTCCACCTCCCACATTCTTCCTGCCCTCTCTCCAAATTTGAAGAGCTACAACTGCCATCTGGTTGGGAGAAATTATTTACAAATATCGATGCTGTAGCCAGAGTATGTTCTCAAATGGCAAATTTCAACAGTCAATCTCTTAAGACCCCTCAAGGGCTTTCCCTTATGCTCAGAATAAAATCCAAACTCCTTACTGTAGGTTTCAGCTTTTGCAAGAACTGTCACCTGCTTATTCCTCCTGTACTTCTCTCTCCACCTAGCCTAACTTACACTGCCTCAGGGCATTTGCACAGGCTGGTTTTTTTCTTCCTGTTTTCTTTTTACTTCGTTGATGCCTGCTTCTCCATCAGATTTCAGCTCAAGATCCACTTGTTTAAGAATTCAATCACTGGGGGTGCCTGGGTGGCTCAGTTGGTTAAGTGTCTGCCTTCAGCTCAGGTCATGAACCCAGGGTCTCTGCTCAGCGGAGAGCCTGCTTCTCTCTCTCCTTCTGTTGCTCCCTCTGCTTGTGGAGATAAATAAATAAATACAATCTTTAAAAAAAAAAAAGAATTCATTCATTGGCTTTTCTGATGAATCAAATTGCCTTGTCACAGGCTCTTGGGGACACTGTGGCCCTCTTGCTCATATCACTGGGATCAGTCTTACATATGCTTGTGTGATATGATTGATTCATGTCCATCTCCAGATGTCATCAGACCATCAGCTCCATAGGGGCTGTCACCTGAGGCTGGAATGAGCTTGAATTATTTCAGGAATGGAAAGCAGGGCAGCATGTAGCCCTTTATGGCTAGAGAGTGCTGAGGTAGGGGGACACCCACAGGTAGGATGAGGCTGGATCCTCCAGAACCAACCTGGTGGGCCAGTTACAGATTCTGTGTTTTAAGTACACTGGGAAGCCTTCCTGGGTTTTAAGCAGCAAGGGCACCATTCAGTGTGTGCTCTGAGATCCCCCTCTCTTCCCTGGGAGAGGAAGCGTGGAGGGCCAGAGTGGACCTGGGAGTAGAATTTAGGGGGTATTGGTCCAGGAGACGGATGGTGGTGGTTTGGATCAGGGAAGTTGGAGTGGAGGCCGAGAGGAGGAATCTGAGAGGTATTTTGGTAGTAAAACCTCAACAGTAAAGTACAGGGGGCTTGTTTCTCCTTAGCTGCAGAAAAGCCCTGGTGCTCCTGCGGCTTCAGTCTTACGTTTCTTTCCCTTTACAATTCCTCTGTGTTGTTATTACCCATGTTACTGGAACTCCTCTGACATTAATTCAAACTGCTAACCTCCTACAGCATGGAGAGTCATTTATAAATCTCAGTCGTCTCAGGTGGGAATACAGTTTCTGGGCCAAGTGTTACTCCATGACTGCCTGCAACCTACCAGCTCCAAGATGCCCTGAATCCACCGTATTTTCCTATCACCCTTTACAGCAGGGTTTCTCAACAATGGCACAATTGACATTTTGGGCCAGATAATTCTTGGTTGTGGCAGCCCATCCTGTGAATTACAGGATGGTGGGCAGCAACCCTGGCCTCCCTCAGCAGATGCCGGTAGCATCCTTCTAGCCCCGTTGTGACAACAACAAAAACATCTCCAGATAGTGTATAATGTCCCCATCCCTATTAAGAACCGCTGATCTACACAGCAGTGCAGAGAAAGCCCTGTCCCTGGGACTGAGCCAGTCGGAATTCTGTCTCCTTCTCTCTTCTGCATTTTCTCTATGGGACACACACACACACACACACCAAATCTAATGAAAGCTCTCTGAGTTCCCTCTGATATGCTGTCCTGTATAGACTGAGTATGGAACAACATGGGTTAAGAGGGTCCTGGTCAGGTGTGTGGCCACCAAGTAAGTGATCTGGCAACTGGCCGCCCATTACCCATCACTGCTTCTCATCAGCTTACCTACAGAACATGTTCTTGCTAGGCCCGTCTGTCTTTAAGGCCCAGCTTAAGTCTCACTTCTGAGAAAATGTGCTGGCCTGTTCAGCTTCCTGTGGCTGACTAGGGCAATTGAATGACTGGTTCTATAATTCATTTATTCATTCAACAAATAGTTAGAGAATACCTACTATGTGCCAGACACTATCCTGAAAACAGCAATGAACAAAGCAAAGTATCTGCTTTCATGAACTCACTAGAAGGGAAGAGACAATGAATGAATGAATGAATGAATGAATGGTATAATGCCGGGAAGTGGCTGTGGGAATTTAGAGGGCTCAATATTCTATCCCCCATCTGTGGTAGCTAGTCTCCAGAGATGGCCCTCAACAATGCTTTTCCTCCCTGTGTGGTCATACTGCTCTTTATATCAGGAATCTGGGCTGCTCTGTGACTGAATTGACCAATAACATCTGTAGAAATGATATTCCAGGATATTCAAGACCAATTCTTAAGAAGACTGTTAGCTTCTACTTCCTTCCTTATGGAATGCTTGCTTGTGGAACAGTCCTGATTGGAACCTAGTTACCATGCCAAGAGGAAGCCCAAACAACTATGTGGAGGAGGGCCAAGGTCCTCATTTTCCCAGCTGATAGCCCCCAGATGAGCTCCCAGCTAGTGGCCAATAACCAAGTACCAGTCACGTGAAGGGCTATTTTGGACTTCCAGCTGGTTCAGCATTCCAGCTGACGGACAACCTGTGAAACAAAAGAACCATCTAGTCAACCCACAGACTTACATGAAATAGTAAATTGTTAATTCAGCTATTGAGTTTTGGGTGATCTGTTATGCAGCACTAGATAAAGAAACATTTAAATTCATAACCAACTGACAGGCAACATAGAAGCCAGACAGATACTGAAACTTATTAACTATGATGTTGAATGGAGGTTGTGGCTAGTTATTGCCCTACTCATGAACTAGACAGAGTCCAGGGACAGGCACAGCTGGTCACCCTCCAGGCTTCTCTTCTTTCCTATCCTCTGGGCACGTGGGGAGCCCCTTTCTGTGAGTCAGAGAGCAGACAAGAGTGTGCTCTCTGCAGATAGGCTGACTCCCCAAGAGAAGAGGGCTGAGCTGGCCATGCTCAGTGTCTTCTCCCAAACTCATCAATCAGACAACTCAATCTTCCCATAGAGAGGAGGGAGTGACAGGGAGGGAGATAGGCCAAGAGAGATGGTCTGGCTGGTCTCCTTCACAGGAAACATGAAGAATAAAGAAAAAGGGTGCCCCAACAGTGATGGGGATTCTGAAATGGATAAGATGCATTTGCAACCCTTTAGATGGGCCAGATAAGAAAAGCCTCTCTGAGGAGCTGACATCTGAGTGGAGTCGGGGAGCCCTGGGGATATCTGGAGAAGAGCTTCTAGGCAGAGAGTGGTTAGTGTGTTTGCAGAGCAGCAAGGAGGCCCATGTGCCTGGAGCTGAGTGAGCATGGAGAGGAGGAGAAGAGGTTGAGGTTGAGACGTGGGCAACAGCCAGAGCATGGGGGCCTTGTGGGCCTGGGAAAGTGTTGGACTTTATTTTACATGTGATGGGAAGACATTAGAAGATGATCGACACTCCTTGATCAATAGATTCTGCAAATTGCAGAGCTGCGAGGGCTTCAGCAGTCTTGTCATCAAGTTTCCTGTTTGTGGAACTGTGTTGGAGTCAGAGTAGAGGGGCCGTAGTGTTCCTATACTTGGGTGAGGCCACCACTCTAGGTGTGAGACTCCAGGTGCTCAGCTGCATGTATTGCAATCTGGTCTAACACCTGGGTGGATACAGATACCTCTAGGATAATGTGGCCAAACAAAGATAACCACTTTGTGAGACCTTTGGTCTGAGCTACCTGGGCAGTGGAATTTTAGACAAAGTTCATATGAGTGCCCATAATGTACAGGATATTCTGAAGTCACCAGTGGGGGTGGGAGGAGGGGTGACAGTGATGAAGGTGGTCTTTGCTTATCTTCCCAGAAGAGCAAGAGAAGGAAAGTAATGTCTTCATAATGAAAGATAGAATGCTGTCACCACCACGAGGGACAGAAATCAAGTAGTGAGGGGCAGGTAAAAGATGCAGAGACCACAAATGAGGAAGGAATTGGATGGAATTGCTATGGCATGGAAGACATGCTATCTAAACATATGTATATGTGTCTATCTATACATTGGTTTTCCAAATGCCCCTTGCATGCTTGATGCAACACAAGGAACTGGGTTATGCACCCAGCACTCAGAACAGTACATGTTCCACAAATTATTGATTGGCTGACTCTACATGAATGATCTCATTTGTCCACCCCCACAAACAACTCTATGAAGTAGGTGTTATGCCCATTTTAAAGATGAGGAAACTGAGACTTAGGGAGGTCAAGTAACTTGTCTGAGGTCCATACCCCTAGGAAGGAGAGGAAGGGGCAGAGCCCAAACCGGCACCACAGGTCTGCAGTATGGAAGAACCAGAAGGGGGCAGGCACGCCTTGGTTCCCCTCCAGCTCTCCTGCACCCAGGCATGTACCAGGCTAGTTCAGTGACTGCCCAGGGCCAATACTTGGGTCTTGCTGACCTGAAGATCTCTAGGACAAGAAGGCACAAATGAGTTTTCCTTATTCCAGGACTGCAAGACACGGATAGCTGGAAGGTCTTTCTCCTACTTGACCAGTCTCTTGTTTGTGCTCTGGAGATGTGGAAGACAGGTCTGGAAGTCCTGTTATAAAACTCCTGAATGCTCTGGAAGACAGAGTTGGCCAGGGGGCATCTCCTCCTGACAGCCCCTAGTTGCAGGCTGGAGAGGTGCTTGGGGCTGGCCCTAACTTAAGGCCCCTGTCCAGTCCACCCTCTTTACCGTATAGATGAGAAAACCAAGATTCAGAGAGGGGAAGTGAATTACCCACACCCATGACTGTCTTTCCCTACAACCCAATCCAGAATGGACAAACCTCTTTAAGAGCCAGGTTCACCTTGTCTAGAGGAGGGCCTTGTCTTTCTCCATCCCCATCCGCAGGTCACAGGCATCTTTCCTGCTGCCCTGGCAGCAGGCACTGTGCTGGTGTAGTGGCCAGAAGACCCCTGCCCCCCAAGGGGAGGGAGAGGAGATCAGCCCAGCTACAGGAGCCTGGCTGGGTGACCTCTAAGGACCTCCTCATCCTGAGATGCTACTTTATGCATTCCCTAAGAGCTCCAGGGTGGGGCAGGCTCACAGGAAGCCAGGTCTCCACCCTTCCCTTCCAGCTTTCCAGACTAAAAAACAACTTGTAGTTTTCGGAAGTTTGTGTGTACTGCAGGAAGGACATGGAATATGTCAGGGTTCCCTTTGTTCACAACGGCGTCAACAATGTGGCTGCCTCTCTCTCTGGCTCCCCATGACCACCTCTTCACCTCATTTGGAATTACAGTGAGAGGTAGTCCTAGAAGCCCAGTTTTTACTAAAGGGTGGAAAACACCACTGATGGAATGGCAGATGAGTTTCATTGGTAAACAGCCAGACTTCGAAGAAATTGTAATTGTTATATATTTATTTTTTACAGTCCTGTTTTTGGCAAGAAATACTGAACTTCCAGTTGTAGCAATGAAGTAAGTATTTCCCTTATAATTATATTTAACTTTAAAGCGTGAGTCGATTAAAGAAAATGTATTAATGGAATAATAACTCGGGTGGTGTGTGGAAATGGCCAGAATCACGAAAGGGAACATAAAGGACTCAAGTGTGGGAAATACTCATGGTAGTTGGTGCTTTGGGACCCTGTCCCCTGTCCCTTATGCAAGGGCATGTGCTAATAGTGGCAGATCTTTTGGAAGACCCACGTCTGAGGGTCCAAGGGCTGTCTTGGCTCTGCCCCTTTTCCGTGGGTGCCTGGGTGAGCCTCCCCTGCTGTGGGCTGAGTTCCCCATTTCTGCAATGACGAGGTTGCGGCCCTTCCAGCTGACACATTCTCATTCCTTCCCCCTCCTGCTAGCGTTGGAGCTTAGACCAGGGTACAGAGTGTCACGGGAAACGATTTCACGTTTCACGCGCACACTCGCTCCTTTATCAAATATTTACTGCGCCGGTCCGCGCCCCAGACACCTCTGCTCTAAGAAAACTTGTTTCTCACCGGCTCCCGGTCTCGGCCACCGAAGTCCGTCCGGGGCGCCACCTGCTGTCCCAGCGGCGCCAGTGCAGCTTCCGACAGTGGCGGAGTGGGCTTGGTTTCAAGCCTTCCTTTGCTGGGAGCGCGCGGGAGAATCCCCTGGGGAAATTGGGGAGGCATCTCTTTTGGGAACAGGTTGCAAGGCCGAATGGGGAGGCAAGGTAAATGGATCTGTGTGATTGGCAGAAAAGCCTCCCATGGATGGAAGGGCCTCAGAGGGAACCAGAAGGAATGGGCAAGCAGCAACAGGCCAATTTAGCCATGCTTTTCTCCGACATGAATAAAGGCTTACAAAAAGCACCTCCAGGCAACGAAAGGGACTGGGTCTGCTTCCCACCGCAGCCCTGGGTGTGGAGAGAGCAGCTAGGGAGCTGCATCAGAGGTTCAATAAATGGATGATGAATTAATTTATTCGGGACTTTTCATTCTGTTTTTACTTTAAGTGGAGAGGAAGGTGATGCAAGGTGTCAGTGCACAGAGGACATCCTCGACTCCCACATGTGGGGAAATTGCTCCGCAAAGCTCTCTTTCTTAGCAGTCTCAGTGATGGGGCTGGAACTCCTCTGTGGTCAGAATGCAACATTTGCGTGCCAGTCTAACAGGGATGCCACCTCCCCAGCACCGGGCTCCTCTGCCTAGTGCAACTATGAGCAAAGATTCTCAAAGTCCACTGGAGTTTTCAGTTGGAGGCCAGGAGGTGCGGTCCAGGGGCACAGAAGCTTTTCACCTTAGTTGTTCTCTAGCTTTGGTCTATCTGAATTAAAGGGACGGTTATGTTGAAAGAAGAGTGTCTGGGGGGAGTGGGGAGTGGTGGGGGGATGGGGGGCTTGGGGTGGGGCCCTGGGCATGTATATTTCTAACAGGCACCCTGGGTGATTCTGGTCCTCCAGAGGTAACAAAGCACTTGTGCAGGCTTAAAAGGCACTCCTTTGTCCAGCTTCTTCTGGATGTCATAAAAAAAAATCACTGTGAACTGAAAGCTTACTTTGGGCTATGTACTGCACTTGGTGCTTTCTGAGAATTCTCACTTAATGCTCATCATCACATCACCATAGGGGGATGCTCACCATTTTTTTTGGTTCATTTTAAAGGAGGGAGAGACTAAGGCTTAAAGAATTTACTTGACTTGCCCAAGACCAGCAATGGAAGGGACAAAAGATTTGAGTTCAGTTCATTTTGATTTCAAAGCGCATGTTCTTTTTTCTTTTTCCAGAACAATGATTCTCTTTATTCCTATTATCTGGGCATGATGATTTTAAAGTTAACTTTTAAAATACAAGCAATACAATTATGTGGTTCCAAAATTAAAAAAAATATTAAAATGTATTCAGTACCATCATGCAATAATGTGAATACAGTTAACACTACTGTACACTTGGAAATGGTAAAGATGGTGAATTTTATGTTCTTTGGTTTTTTTTTTTTTTACAAGTAAAAAAAAAGGCATTCAGTGTCCCTTGTCTGTCTCACCATGGGAAACCATCACTATTAGTTTTATATGGATCTTTCAGCTTTTAAAAATACACACAATACAGGTAATCCTCCCCCAACCCCTGCTCTTTTTGCACAAAGAATAGCAAACTATCCATACCAATCATCATCTTATTATTGTCTGGGGACACTAATAACTTGGAGATCGTTCTACATCAGAACATCGAGAACCCCTCATCCTTTAAAAATTCATTTATACTTATTTATTTTTAATTGAGGTATAATTGACATAAAGCATTATATTAGTTTCAGGTGTACAACATAATGATCTGATGTTTATATATATTGTGAAATGGTCACCGTGATAAGTCTAGTTAACATCTGCCACTGTACATAGTTATAGAAATGTTTTTTCTTGTGATGGGAACTTTTAAGATCTCCTCTCTTAGCAACTTTCAAATATGCAATACAGTATCATTAAGTATAGTCATCATGCTGTATGTCACATTTCCAGGACTTACTTATTTTATTGCTAGAAGTTTATACCTTTTGACTTCCTTCACTCATTTTGCCCCCCAACTCCCCAGCCACCAATCTGTTCTCTATACCTATGGGCTTGGTTTTTGTTGTTGTTTGTTTTGTTTTGGTTTGGTTTGGTTCCACATATCAGTGAGATCATATGGTATTTGTCTCTCTGTATCAGACTTCTTTCACTTAGCATAATGCCCTCACAGTCCATCCATGTTGCAAACAGAAAGATTTTTTGTGTATGTGTGTGTCTGAATAGTATTCCATTGTATATATATACCATGTCTTCCTTATCCATTCATCCATTGATGGACACTTAGGTTGTTTCCACACCTTGGTTATTGTAAATAATGCTATATCTCATTCCTTTTTTTTTTTTTTTAAAAGATTTTATTTATTTATTTGACAGAGAGATGGACAGACCCAGAGAGTACAAGTGGAGGGAATGGCAGCGGGAGAGGGAGAAGCAGGCTCTGCACTGAGCAGGGAGCCTGATGTGGGGCTCGATCCCAGGTCCCTGGGATCATGACCTGCGCCGAAGGCGGATGCTTAACCATCTGAGCCACCCAGGCACCCCTACCTTATTCCTTTTTTAAGCTGCTATTGTACAGGGACTATAATTTCTTTCACCACTCCCCAGCTGATGGGTGTTGAGATTGTTTCCAGTCTCATGAAGACACATTGTTAACTACCACCCAAAGGAGCCAGCTCAACTTACCCAGGGTTTAAACTGTGACTGCAAAGTGAAATGTGTTATTTAGACTCACCCTTTAAAATAGACAGGCGCACGTTCAAGACTGGCCACCTTCTCTCAGTAAACCCCATGCTGTTTTTCCTCTAGCACTGGAATGGATCACAGTGCCATGTGAAGTAGTAGAGGTGTGTTTCCGGGCCTTGGGGTACAAATCAAGTGTCTACACACTGCAGTCACCCACGTTGTAGTCAGCTCACACTAGGAGAGGCTTTTGGAACAGAGGGCCCAGCAGGTTCACAGCCCCCATCTCATGCCCTCTCTGGGCTTGTTGGGTGGGGTGGTGGGTGGCATCAGTCAAGACATTAAGCTTTTTTTGTGGGGGGGAGGTGCATACAGGTGAATAAATGTAAGTCGTGAGTGTGGGGGGTGCTGGAGGGCTGCCTCTTGCTGTACTGGATGGTGATGATTGCCCCCCATGGACTTTCTCTCCCTCTCCTTCATTAAACTGTGAGTTCCACTTTTTTTTGTTTAAGATTTTATTTATTTATTTCACAGAGAGAGAGAGAGAGAGAGAGAGCAAGCAGGGGGAGTGGCAGGCAGAGGGAGAGGAAGAAGCAGACTCCCCACTGAGCAGGGAGCCTGACATGGGGCTCCATCCCAGGACCCTGGGATCATGACCTGAGCCAAAGGCAGATGCTTAACTGACTGAGCCACCCAGGTGCCCCTAACACTGTGAGTTCCTTAAAGCCCAAAGTGGGGACTCATTTGTCCCTGCAGTTCTCACAGCCTTGGAAGTATGATCTGGGTGCAGGCAATGCTGAGTACTTACCATCTACCAGGTGCCTACCGAGCACCGTATTCAGTTACCTCACTTAATCCTCCTAACAACTCCCTGAAGTAGGTGCTATTGTTATTCCACTTTTGTGATGAAGAAAATGAGGCACAGAGAGGTCAAACCACCCATCAAAGTCACACAGCTCCTACGAGGCAGAGCTGAGATTGTGAATCTGGGTAATTTGGCTCCAGAACCTGCCCTCTTCACCGCTCCGTTATGCTGCTTCAGGGATCTTTCCTCTTTGTCCTGGAAAGTTAGGGAGGAAAGCTGGATGGTGCTTACTTTAATTCAACCTAAAACAGTAACATTCGATTTAGCAAAAGTATATTGTGAGTCCTGGCTCTGCGACGAATGAGCTGTTATGATTTTGGAACAGTTACTTAATGTTTTTGTTTCTCATCAGTAAAACAGTGACAATAGGACTGATTGCATGGGGCTATTGTGAGGGGGAAATGAATTAGTATACTGAAGGGGCTTACGCCTGGTCAGCACTCAGAAAGTGTCTACTGCTTCCATGCACCAGGCAATGGGCCAGGTCCTCCAGGTTCTTGGTACTTAGATCATGGTGCATGGATCAGCAGCCTGGGCATCACCTGAGCACTTGTTAGAAACGCAGAATCCCAGGCTCGACCCCAGCCCAGCTGAATCAGAATCTGTATTTTAGCAAGGTGCCCAGGTGATTTACATGCGCTGCAAAATCCTAGAAAGACCTGCTCTACAGCAGTGGCTTCCAATCACCCTTTTCCATCAGATTCCCAGGTGCAACTTCTGACTGCCCCCCACGATGGCGTGTGGAGGCAGGGCCGGACAACACAATTTTCCTAGCTCCTTTAGCCTCTTCTCAAGGTTGGGGATCAGCCAGGCTGAGAGACGCAGCTATAAGGGGCAGCAGAGGTGAATGAATGAAGTTGTATTTTCACTTTTGATGTGATAGAGAAGACATCTTTTTGGTTGG